ATGAGTTCATCCATAAAATGGAAGCAGATAGCAGAATGGATTAGAAACCAGAATGCAACAATATGTTGTTTACAAGAGACACACTTGAAACAGAAAGACACACACATAGAGTTAAAATAAAAGAGCTGGAGCAGAACCTAATATGCTTCATCTCAACTAAAAAAAAAAATCAGGAGTAGCAATCATGATCACAGACAAAGCAAAAGCAAAAATTGACCTAGTTAAAACAGATTAGCAGGGAAACTACATTTTACTAAAAGGTATCATAGACAACAAAGTAATATAAAAAATTGTTACAGCAAGTTTCTCTGATAAAAGCTTCATTTCTCAAATATATACTGAGTAAAGAACTGCATCAAATTTATAAAAATAAGAGTCATTCCCCAATTGATAAATTGTCAAAGGATATAAACAAGCAATTTTTAGAAGAAATCAAAGTCATCTATAGTCATATGAAAAAATGCTCTAAATCACCATTAATTAGATAAATGCAAAACAAAACTCTGGGGTACCATCTTTCACCTTTCAGAAATGACAAATGCTGGAGGGGATGAGGGAAAATAGGTACACTAATAAACTGCTGGAGTTGTGAACTGGGCCATCCATGCTGGAGAACAATTTGGAATCATATCCAAAGGGTTATAAAACTGTGTATGACCTTCATTCCTACCCCATCCCACTCTTCCATCACCAGTTTCACTTCCGTTTATATGTTGTCTTCCCCCATTAGAATGTTCCTTGAGGGGAGGGACAGTCTTGCTTGTTTATATTTGTATTCTTGATATTTACCATAGTACCAGTTAATAAAAGTTCATTCTATCTATCTGTCTATCTATCTATCCATCTAGCTATCATCTATCCATCTAGCTATCATCTGTCCATTTTTATCTATCTATCTTTGCTTCTTGAGGGCAGAGAATATTTTATATTTGTATCCCCAACACCTTATGTGTTTGTTTATTGCAGTTTCTGTGCTAGTATCAGTGATACCGAGATTATTGAGAACAGAAGTGTTCAAAGGACTGAAGGGTAAATATTGTCCCAATTTTCAAAAAAGGGAAGAGTGAAGAATTTTCAAATTATAAGCTATTGAACATTTGGTTTATGAACATTCAGAAAGAGGAGTAGACTGATTACCAATAGGCAATATGGCTTCAATAAGAATAAGTCATATAACATTCAAACTGTGGTCATCAAGGATTCAGTGTCAATTTGGAGGGAAATCTCCAGTTAAATGCATTAGGGATCTGTCTTCGATACCGATGTTCAATATTTTTACCAATGCCTATGCCAGGGGTGGGGAACCTGTGGCCTCAAGGACATGCGGCCCTCTAGTTCCTCAAGAGCAGCCCTTTGACTGAATCCAAACTTTACAGAACAAATCCCCTTAATAAAAGGATTTGTTCTGTAAAACCTGGACTCAGTCAAAAGGCCCTAGAAGGCCACATGTCCTTGAGACCACAAGTTCCCCACCCCAGGCCTATGCCTTTATCAAAGGCATAGAACACAAGCTTATCAAATTTTTAGATGACATAAAGTTAGAACTAGCTAACACAATACATGACAAAGTCAGGGTCCAAAAAGATTTCAAAATATAAGAATTCCAGGCTGAATCTCATAAAAATGAAATTTAATATAGATGGGGATAAAATGTTCCACCTGGATTCAAAAAATCAATTTCACAAGTATAAGACTGGAGGAGGTATGGCTATAACAGTTAGTGTTAAAAAAAGTGGGGGGTGGGCAGGGTCAGTTTTAGCAGATTATAAGCTTAACAACAAGGAACAGTAAGCCATGGCTGCCACAATATATGATGTGATCTTAGGATGTTAAGAGAAAACTTTTGTTCAGAAATGGGAGGTGATAGTCCAGCTGTATGCTCTGCCCTTATTAGACTACATCCAGGGGATTGTCTTCAGTTTAGGGTGCTTTGCTTGAATGTAGCGCTCTTTTAGATACCAAGAAGATATGCACAATAGAGATGAACATCTGCTACTCAGGACAGAAGTTTCTACTTATCAGAAGTTGACCCTCAAAGGGTTAATACTCACACTAACTGACCAGGCAGATCGCGATTGACTAGGTTGACTTCCTATGCTGAGTGAAAGGGAAGGAGGAGTAAACAGCCTTGGAAGAGATGGTCTGGGAGGTAATCTACGAGGAGCCGGGGGATTGCAATGCAGCTAGGAGAGACTGAGATCAAAGCCACTCCAGCGAGTAGAGGCGAGAGGACTGCTGTGGCTCTCCCTGACATTGTAAAGGCTTCAAGCTGGTGTCTGAGCAATCCCCAGCTTCTTCGTGTATGTGACCAAGAGGTACACTGGATCCACACTACTATTGCTGCTGGGGCTGCTGCAGCGGCAAGTGGGCGGGAACCATTCAGGCCACTGCAGAAGAACCTGAAGCTGTCATTTGCTGAGAACTACCAGTGGTAAAACTCTTCTCCTATTTCCCCTCTCCCTGATGTAATAGTATATGTGTTTCAAAGCACACACACACACACACACGTGTGTATATATACATATGCATATATACACACACATATGTACATATGTGTATATGTACGGATGTGTGTGCATCTTTAAAGTTTAAATTTTACATTGCTGTTCACCCGGACTCTAAAAATCAATTTTAAGGTATAACTGTGATCATTACAATGCATTATTCCTGCATGCATTTTATTGGCTTAATAAATGCTTGTTAATTGATTTGATCAAAGGCAATTGACAGGAAGGTTATTGTTGACTATACAGAGAAAAAGGGAAGTTCTCTAATTTGCTGGGATCTTTCACCAGCTGGAGCCTTGAAATGAACCAAATTGATTTTATTGCCAATTGTTATTATAACTCCTCAAAAGCAGGGAAAAGAATTTGTCATTCAGTCGTTTTTCAGTTGTGTCTGATCCTTTGCGGTCACATTTAGAGTTTTCTTAGCAAAGACACTGGAGTGGTCTGCCATTTCCTTCTCCAGCTCGTCTTACAAATAAGGAAACTGAGGCAAACAGGGTTAAGTGACTTGTAAGAGTCACACAGCTAGTAAGTGTCTAAGGCCAGATTTGAACTCAGGAAGATTAGTCTTCAAGACCAACGCTGCCTCTAGAGAAAAGAAGAAGTCTTATGAACATGAACCGTAACAGACTCCCCCAGGCAAAGGAAGACAGTCAACATTGCTGGTTGGTATGGCATTTTCTCCCAAGCTCCTCTGAAGGAGCATCTTTGTTCCATTGCCTTCGCTAGTTCAAGGAAACCTTTCCCTCCTGCAGAGGTGGATGTCAACCCTGGTGATTACAGAGAGAATCCCCATACAGATTGGGAAGTTGGGAGAGCCTGGCTCTACCCAGAGGAGGGTGGAAAGCACAGAGAGGGAGGAACTTCTCTCAGGGTATCAATTCCTTCTCCCTTCCCCTCAGGTTAGTAAATCTCATCTCTCAATCACTGTCTCTCTGGTTAGCCTGCCTGAGCATTAATAACCCTTTGGAAGTCAACAGGAGACATTTTACAGGAACTTATTCTGACCAGCAGGTGTCAATTTCCAGGGTGCATATCTGTTTAACCTACTAGTCAAGTTGAGGCAAATTAGCAAGCATTAAATGCCCAGTCTGTGCTAGGCACTGTGTTATGTAAGTTACTATAACCCTTCCCTTGTGAAAGTATTGGGCTAAATCAGTACCAATCTACCTGGCTGGCTAAATTAGTACCAGTCTAGCATGTTGTGGTGAACAGAACACTGAACTTGGAGTCAGTAAGACCTGAGTTTGAATCCTACCTCATTAGCTTATTAGCCGTATGACACTTGGCAGGTTTCAAATTATCAACGGAGATGAGATATGTACAGCTTTTTGTAAACCTTGAGAGTGCTAGATAAATGCTAGCTATTATTATTCAGTAATTTAACCTCAAGGTTAGCTAGGTAGCTTAGTGGATAGAGCTCTGGGTTTAGAGTCAGGTAGACTCATCTTCTTGAGTTCAAATGTGGCCTCAGACACTTACTAGCTGTGTGACCCTAGGCAAGTCACTTAAACCTATTTGTCTCAGTTTCCTCATCTGTAAAATGAGCTGGAGAAGGAAATGGCAAACTACTCCAATATCTCTGCCAAGAATACTTGAAAAAAGGGGTCGTGAAGAGTTGGACACAACTGAAAAATGACTCAACAACAACAACAAACAACAATTTAACCTTTCTAGGCCTTAATTTCCTCATCTGTAAAATGAAGGTGTTGCATTTGATGACCTCTAAGGTCATCTGTCTCCAAACCTATGATCCTGTAGCCCAGTGCTAATTCTGGGGACTCCTGCCAGTGAATGGGGCTTGTTGACATCAGAATTTACTGAAAGGTGTAATCCCCAAGAGAAGCTGGTTTCTTTCAGTGGTAAATGCCATACACTTGTCGCATGAGGCTTGGGGAAATCATAGTAGCACCACATCAACCTTACAGAGAAAGCTTTGTTTGTTTTGTTTTTTGTTTTTTTGTTTTTGTTTTTGTTTTTTGCTTTTTGGTGAGGCAATTGGGGTTAAGTGACTTGCCCAGGGTCACACATCTAGTAAGTGTCATGTGTCTGAGACTAGATTTGAACTCACGTCCTCCTGCCTCCAAGGCCAGAGCTCTATCCACTACACCACCTAGCTGCCCCAAGAAAAAGCTTTGCAATAAAAATCACTCCCTCAGGAAAACTAAATGAAGTGTTAATCTTCCACACAATGGCTTTTACTGATTTAAGTAGTTGTACAGGCCCTGTTCACAATCAGATCTAATTGTATGATTCAATCAAAACCTGGACCTTCCATAATTTGGTCCCACTATATCTTTCCTACCTTGCGCCTCATTACGCGGATGGTGCAAAAGCAACTTCTGCTCCAGCTAACCTGATATTTGACCTCCAGGACCTCCAGTCTTTACCCAGTTAAGGTATCAGAGCTAAGAGTGGCACGGTTTCAACCCCACCCTTACAGAAGAGAGATTAAAAACTACCAAACATAGCCTCTGGCCTGAGCCAGAATACCTGAAGTAAACAGGGAGCAGTAACTCTGGTTTCTTTTCCTCTTGGATGGGAGCAGCAGCGTCTACGCCCTCAAATTCTGCCATCTCTTCAGCCTCAAGCTGGGCCAATAATTCCAGGTCACTGGCAGAGGAAAGCTCATCCTGGATATGGCTCCAGTCATACTGATGTCTCAAGAAACTCTGCCACTTGCTGGGAGGGACCCCAGGCCGTGGAGGTCTCTTGTTTAAGATCCATCTAGCTGTACGCTTGTTCAATTTTTTGAGCACAATGTTCTCCCAACTTCTGACCTCCCTCTCTGCTGGTCTAAACCATGTTTCTCTTTGTTCTAGTTTCCACTCAGAAGTGTTTGACAGAATTGTTGATTGGGAATCCACAATCTCAGAAACAGGACTGGAGGAAGATCTAGCCGAAGAATCGCTGGGTGAGTTTTCTTTCTTAGGCCTCTTCAGTTTGCATTTCTTCGGGGTCTTAACACTTTTAGTTATTGGTTGGAGTGCCGGTAAGGACCGTAAGGACGGCAGGTCCATTATAGATGAAGATAACAGCGGCTTGAGTTTGGGTGCCTTCCGAGCTTGGAACTCTCTGTTCTTGGACAAAGAGATGTTTTCTGTGTTGTAGATGTGGTCAAAGTTATACTGGGAATAGGGTATACAGGGCAGCCCCCATTGCTGCAATACTTCTTGGGAGAATGATAGCTCTGCAGATGCCTGTTTGAGATATTGGTTCTTCAGACGGGCACAGTGCTGGGAACTGTTGGGGGAAACAGGTGGCACACCTAAGAATGAGTCACACTGTGACTTGCTCCCTGACTTAAAAGAGCAAAGTGCCGTGCCCCATCCTAGTCGAGTAAAGGTATGCTTGTCCTGTGAATGGGAGGCAGAAGGATCCAAGCTCGTGGAGCTATTCATGCTGTTCCAGAGCAAATGCTTCTGAATGAAGCACCAGGTCAGGCATGAGGGGCCGGGGCTGGGTCAGAGACACCAAGGAACCTGTTTAGGGAATAAAGAGAATTGGTGATATGAAGAATTTGGGTCACCTTGGGAATATTCGTATGAATCGATACAGAGCAAAGCACATAGCTGGAACAGCTTATACTATAACATGAATGAAAGCAACACAGAGACTCCAGAGCTCTGACTAATGCACTGAATCATCATGACATCAGCAAACAGACAATGAGTATACAGAAAAGTGGGGAATGACGGGTGCAGAACTGGGCATAGACTTGGGTCAGACTTGGTCAATGTATAGATTTGTTTTGTTGTCATTGTTCAGTTGTGCCCAACTCTTTGTGGCTCCACGGACCATACCATGCCAATATTGTTCATGGGGTTTTCTTGGCAAAGAGAATGGAGTGGTTTGCCATTTTCTTCTTTAGCAGATTAAGGCAAACAGAGATTAAGTGACTTGCCCAGGGTCACACAGTTTGTTAGTGACTGAGGTTGGATTTGAATTCAAGTCTTCCTGAGTTCATGCCCAGCTCTCTATCCTATGAACTACCTAGCTGCCCCAGATTTGTTTTACTTAGTTGTAACTTGTTGTAAGAGACTACTGTTCTGTTGGAGATGTGGAATGTAGAGGGAGAGTCATTAGGAAATCACAGTGATTTTTTTTTAAAAAAAAGAGTATATATATATGAATTGACTTCCCTGGCACTGTGGATAGACTTCTGACCCTGGAGTCAGGAAGATCTGAGTTCAAATTCGGCCCCAGACACTAGCTGTATGATCCTGGGCAAGTCACTTGACCACTTTGTGCCATTTCCTCAACTATAAAATGGGAATAAGAGCCCCTACCTCTCAGGGTTGTTGTGAGAATCAAATTAGATATTTGTAAAGCATAAACTTTTAACTGCTATATAAATGTCAGCTATTATAAAATGACGTAATATATATGGCAGGTGAAAGATGAAATGACTGAGGAAACAAAGGTTTGAGCTTCTGAGCATATTGATTTATTAAGCAATACATGCTAATTGCCTAACAAATTGGGACCAAGCCCCTCAGCTATGGCACTGGACACTAAATACAGGGGAGAATAGATTTTTTTATGCATTAAAAGATAACAATAAACAGGATATAAAACAGGATGTATAATTAGGCAATCTGATTTCTAATTGGAGGAAAGATTAGGGGCTTTCCAAGTTGGTAGGGGGAGAGCAAACCCATGCATTTCCTGGAAATCAGAAAAATAGGTGTCCCATTTCCCCCCAAGTGTCTGTATTCAATCAGAGAAAGGAAGAAAGAAATAGTAACTGAGTGACCAGTACAAAGCTATTTTTCAGATAAGACATATAGGCTGCCTGAGATGTATAATTGTGAGAAAACTCCTTGAATCAACCCTTGGATTTGATTGGGTTTCTGGTCAGCACAACCTAGGTCCTCAGTTAAGGGTCTCTAAGTAACAGGGAGAAGTGGTCCAGCTTCCCAGCCACTCAGGATTAAGCTCAAACAATGCAATAACATTTTTTCATAATTCCCATAATTGAACACAATTTTATCACAAGACAGAAACTGAACTAAACCCATAACTGAATAAAAAGGAAACTGAGCCAGACCCAGAATTGAGTCACAAGCTGGAGTCAGTATGGTTCACTCAATTCCCTCATATAATATATAATATAGTATATATACTATATTATTATTATATTATGTAATACTACATTATAGTATTATATAGCATATAATACTATAATGTATTGAATTATAGAATGTATCATATTATGTGCCTGGCACATATTAAGTGCTATATAAATGCTAGCTATTATAATTCTGATTATCGATAAACTCCTTTGTAGAGGTGGGGACCCACAGGTGTGGAACATTGCATGTAACATCAGAATATTTTTGATGTGGTGTTTGGTTTTGCTGAATGTTATTTTCTCTTCCACTTTTAAAAAAATTCTTTGTTATAAGGAATGGCTTTCTGGAAACAGGGATGGGAAGGCACACAGAAACAATATAAAGAGAAAAGATATCAATAAAATTTATTATTTAAAAGTTCTATCAACAAAAATATAATTTACAAAACTTGGTAGGCACTCTACACGTGTTTCTTTGTCATGGTAGTGGAGCGGAAAGAGAACAGCAGATTGGGTTTCTTTAAACCAAAGCAAGCAGTAAGGGCCAAAATGATAGGTAAGAGAAAAAGAGTAATGCTGGTGATAATTGTGGTTTACTCTTTTTTTTTCTCATTTCCATAGTCATTCTCATAATCTCTCCCATTCTCATGACCCTAAAACTGATTCTCCCCGACCTCTAATTTTTCCTCTAATCTTTCTTCTAATCTTTCCTCTAATTTTTCCTGATTGTTATCATCAAATGATCGGAGTTAGAGTAGAAGAGACCTTTGAAATCATTTAGCCTGATCCTTTCATTTTTACAGATAAGGAAATTGAGCAAAGATTAGACATATGCTTCAGGTCTTATTAAGTATTTCCCAATTACATTTTAGTCTAAACAGGGCACAGTAGGACTCAGGTTGGGTCTTGGACACCTCTGCTTTAGGTCACACACAGGTATAAATAACAGAGCTAGCATTCAAACCTATGCTTCTGATTCCAAATTTAGTCCTCTTCTCACTATACCCCTTTCTATCCTGAACAACATTGGTAGACTGGTAATAGCTCTCAAACACTGCTTTGTATCATATCATTCACACACACACACACACACACACACACACACACACACACACACAGTGCTAGGAAAAAACTGCTGTTGCATTCAGGACAAATTTCAAACCTATGAAGATTCTGTATTCCTATATGACAACTAAATCATTCACGAAAGAAAATGCAGTGATAATGGAAAACATTCTCCCAAATTAAATCTTACTTTTTTTTTTTTTGTGAAGCAATTGGGGTTAAGTGACTTGCCCAGATCCACACAGCTAGTTTGTGTTATGTGTCTGAGGCTAGATTTGAACACAGGTCCTCCTGACTCCAGAGCCAACGTTCTATTCACTGCACTACCTAGCTGCCCCTAATGTCCAATCTTTTTGTTGTTGTTGTTTTGTTTTTTTCATGAGGCTATTAGAGGTTAAATGACTTGCCCAGGGTCACATAGCTAGTAAGTATCAAGTGTCTGAGGCTGGATTTAGACTCAGATTCTCTTGACTCCAGAGCCAGTGCCCTACCCACTGTGCCACCTAACTGCCCCAAATTTTACTTACTTTTCAAGTTGCCCACTTATTTAAACAAGTTCTTTTCTTGTCATGGTCAAGAGAAGAGTTATTAAATAAAAGGTAGTTCTTAAGTATCAGATAAATTCAAAACTACAAATCCATTTTTTTCTTCACTCTGTATCTTCATTGATACTACAAATACTTCCTCCCTTGCACTAAAACAATAAATTTGTCCAGGAGAAAGAGTGATAAAGGGTCTCAGCTCTGTTTTCATGTAACTTTCACAAATTTTTTTCTTATTTTTTCCTAAAAACAAATCCTATAGAGTGATACCCCAAAACTCACTAAGATTTTTCTGCATTTATATAAACATTCAAACCACAATTTGAAAACTCTTACTACAGAATTTATATTTCAGTCAATTTAGCTTCTAATTAATTTACAATGCCATTTATTTCTGCAGACTGGGAACAAAGATTCCCTTTCCTCTTATCTGTGTTTTCTTTTCTGTTTCCCCAACTTAGCCAGAGTTAGGAATTCAGAGAAGAGAGCCTTTCTGCAGGAAAGTTTTCACTCTTTATACTCTTTTTCCTTTGATTAGTCAACAGGAAAAAGTTAGTTTACTATATTAAGACATAAACACAGACAATACAACAAGACAGACAAATAGTTCCCTGTGACTTGGGTTGGAGTTGGTGGTCCTTCCTCATCTTTAACGTACAGTACTTCAAAGGTACCAAACTAAGACTATTTCTATAGAATTTACCAGAAAGGATAAACTGAGGCAGATCTCTGAGCTAGATATAATTTATTATAAGGGGTATGCAACCTGATAATAAAGGATAGGTCTAATGGCACTGCCTCTGGTCAAGAAACCTCCAAATTAAGGGTGCAATACATTTTTATAAGCATAGAAGAAAGAACAGAACAGAAACCACCTGACTGGCCAACATCACAGAGGTGAAAGATTATTATTGGCTTCATCAAAGAAAGACAACCCTAACTGTTAAAGATGGGACAAGATCAGGTCGTCCTAGCCAAGTTGCTCTAGTTTCTCAAGAATACCCCACAAACCTTGCAAGGAGATGCTGAGACACTGTTTTATAAGAGTATTGAGAACAGAGTTGTTCCTCAACTAGTCCTATTGTATCCTTGGTATATAACATCAGATAAGGGGAGCTTTGGACTTTAGCACACTGTTTCTCCACCTGAACCTCAGAAAAGAAGCTTAAGATTTAACAGAATTGTTACAGTATAAAATCAAATATAAAGTATGGGATCAAAAATTCATTTCCTCAAGGCCAAAACAAATTATCAGCTGAATCTCTCACAGCTTTAGACCAAATTTCACATAACCTAATATTCACATGACCAGTCATTCCTGGATTCATCCAGGAGCTTCCCCTGGTCCCAAGTTATAGGAAATTTCTCCAGGGAGGAATCCTATGGTATACTACTACCAGCAGCCATTATTCCCCAATGGAGAATCTTCCTCAGCAAAAACGTTGGTTTGGTCCTTTGGTATACTCATACTAGAATCCTATTATTCCCTTAGGGAAATCTTCCTGGGGATATCCTTCCCCAACAGTGTGTGGGCTTACTTTAGGTGGGAAGAGTTGAGATTGAAAGGGAGTCAGACCTCAGGGGTAGTCCTATATGGAGAAATCCTTTGGTGAGAAAGATAGGGGGAGCTCTCTAATGAATTCCTCATGGAGGCTATGCCAGGGGGGCAAGGGTCCTCTCTCTATCCCTTTATGCTTGCCAATTGTCAAGATTGAATTGG